TAAAAGCCTAAAACCATTTGGCCTTAGGTTTGAATCCAAATCTAAGAGGACGCATAGATAGGTTTTGATTTTTCCCTCCTTTGCTCATGAGGTTTTTTACATTGCATTGCTATTTTGCTACAAGAAATACAAAGACGGCAACAAATTCCAGTGCTACACTGCCATCTTATCTAAACTTCCACTTAGCTCCAATAACACGAAAACTTCAAACCTGGCTAGATTCTTCTTGTATCAGATAGAGAAGTAAACACTAAACACTAGACAAACAGAACAGGTAAAGATGATGGGCCTATGAGCTTTCTGGGTTGTTCATCAACGTCTCATGTTCCTACCGCACCCTCGTGGGCCGATAAGGAACCTAGCTAGCAACCTAAATGAACCAAACAATCTCCTCTCACTCTCTCAGGGAGACGGAGATCTGTAAAGAACTAGTACACATGCATCAGCAAGGAAGCACCTGGGAGGGTGGGAACAGGATTTTCCATGCCTTCTTTTCTTTTTCCCTTTTGATCGGCAATCCATGAAAAATATCTCATTAATGGAGCTTATGACTATATGCATATTGGACCTGGCAATAGAAGAAAAAGATATAATCGTCTCTTGCTAAAGTATTTATTAGGATCCAAAGTCCAAGCCATTTCAAGGGAGAAATCAACACTTTGTGATTTGTGGACCACCTCTTGCTTTTGGATCAGTTTGGAACAAACTAGGTACATGTTGGCATTGGCATGAGAGTCGAGAAAGGCGAATCTTTCTGTGGCTCCTAATCATCTTTGTAAATGTCATCTCTCTTTTCAGTTCAACATAGCTGTTGGGTTGACTTAATTGTGGCTCAACCTCGGACCTTGAACACCAAACTGCCGATGGTCCAAGATCTTAAGATCTTAACCAAGTGAAAATCCAATGAGCGAAATCCACTCTCTAGAAACAATTGAGCGGAAAAGGCGCTATGCTAGGCAGAATATATAATACGAATACTACTTACATAACCTAGCCTTCCTTTTAATTTAATTAGGGTTTTTAAAGGATCATAAAGGAATGGGTAAAATGGTCTCATAAAAAATGCATGCTTAGTTATGGGATTTTAAAGTGTTTCAAGACACTTCCCTGTAAATAAAGGTTGGTGCCTTAAGTGTCATTAACCCCAAATTATAAGGTACTTCCCTGTAATTTCCCAAATAATCAGTATTTCAGGCTTAAAGACTTTGGGAGATGTTGAATTGATGAAAGGAAAGCAGGCAAGGGCCGCAAGGCAGTTCCATCAATCATTGTACATTTTTACATTGCTTTGGAATCAAACCCATATTTAATGACTTGAGTTCTTTTTGAAGTTTGAACTTAGGGCCCGTTTGATTCGCGGGAATAGGGATCTGGAAATAATCCGGATCCAACTGTTTGTTTGGGTGGAACTGGATTCCCATTCCCATTTATGATGGAGTAATATTTCTCTATTTGAGGAAATGGCCATTCCCTCCTCCTTTGGGAATGAAATTTCATTTCAACTGATTTCAATTCACATTGTAATTCCTGTCTGAATCATAAAGAATATAGGAATAAATCATTCTGATTCTGATTCCAATTTCAACTGTGAACGAAACAGACCTTTTAGTGTTTATTATTCTCTTAAAGGCCCAACCAAGCATTCAATGGGACCGGATATATAGTAAGCACAAAATAAATAAACACGTTAAATGAGCACTTGATAAATATTTTGACAACTGTCAAAAATGGGTTTTAATCTTTTTCAAGGGTGGGCTGAGGGTATTTTAAGGTACAGGTATCAAAAAAAAAATTCAAGTGCTCATTAAATGTGCTTATAATAATGTGCCTATCTTATCCGGACTCACATTCAACTATGGCAAATTTACAAATATTGGTTGCATTTCAAATCTAAATTTCTCATGTAATCAAGTTAAAGTTTACATATTTTTCATTGGCCCATGTGTTCACAAGAGTATATTTTTACATGTAACAAGGTATACTCACCATCATACTCAACCAATCATGTTGTTTGCTTCATGGTACAATAGAATACACCATAAATTTGAGTCCAGAACTAGTAGACACAACATTGTAAGCACAATAAATGAGCACAAATAAATATTTTACACCTGTATCAAAAGTCGGTTTTAAACCTTTTCAGTTTTCAAGGGTAAGTTGGGGATATTTTAAGCAACATGTGTAAATAAGAAAAAAAAACTTTCAAGTGCTTACTCAGCATGCTCATAGTGTTTGCCTACCTGATCTGAATTACATAAAATTTTGCCATCGATTAGCTTATCTTCATATGCAAGTTCTTGTAATTGTTGTAGGCATGGGTTTTAGAAGGATATACACTACGCACATCCAATGTCCATATTCATAGATTTTGGTCTCCTTGTAAATTGCAATCCAACTTTGTTTTGTCAACAGGAAGTGGAAGATAACTATCACTTGGTGGTTTCCTTCGTGGATCATAAATTTTTTATTCTTTTGCTAAATAATCGCCCTCTTATTGTGTCATCAATCTATTCATCGGTGGATTAAGTATATGGATGCTTAGCTTATCAACCTTATTGGTGCAACTTGTCAAGTAAACTCCAAGAACATCAATGCTTTGCAGAGAGGTTCCTATTTTCAAGTGTTTGGAAGACAATCGAACAATAATATAATTTCTCTCCAATTCTTTGTATTTGGTTTGAAGGAAAAAATAGGGAAAGACAGATAAACCTTTATATACTTTGAATAGGCTTCCATACGTTTTTCCTTCAAACCAAACATAACCTTAGGTTTTTACACTTGACAAATTAATTTGAACATATAGAACTGGTGGTGGAGCCAGGAATTTCCTCTCGGGGGGGCAAGTTAAACAAAAAAATGAGGTGAGAATAGAAGAGGTAGACTGTTTAAGGAAATGAGGTGGGAAAGTTTGGTTCTACTATAGACTTTTCAAAGAAAAATAAATAAAGTTTTTAATTTTGTAGTTGGAGGAGGGTTAAAGAATGATCCTTTAACATTTTCCGTTCGGCTCAGCCTTCATTTTTTGGGGGGAGGGGGTATTTAAGGACCTACATTATTATATTTTTTACCTTACCTATACTTAATAATTATATATAAATATTAACCTAACAAAAAGTTTGGGGGACCAAGGACCCAACAATATACTTGGCTCCACCCCTGCATAGAGCCATAGATTGATATAAGATTTAAAATTGAACATATGGCTGTAAATGTGAAGTTGTGTGAATTGATATTTTAAGTATTGGATTAATGGTAGAAAATGTGAATGCAAATAGCAGGCATACACGTACACTTATATATATGACAAAAGAATATCCTTTTGTTATTTTCAGAAAACTTATACACCATTCCATACAGGTTTAAAATATCGATATAATTGTGTATCATGCGTTTCAAACAGTGGATACTCTTTTATTTGTTGTTTTTTTTTTTTTTTAATTTTCAGATATGTTAGGTGCCCTAACTGTTGGTATTTGTGTTTTAAGTGACCTTTGATACGCATGATAGCATGCGATGCCTTGATACTTTGAATCTTCCTTATATATGGTAAGAAGAAGGATCTAGTGATGTACCATTTTTGGTGCCTAATGATGCGCAATTTGGCAATTCCCTGTTGGAAGGTGCTTTGGATGTCGAGTCGGCTAGTTTGTTGGATCGACCTATAAAGAGGCAATGTCAGAGTGTCCGAATTGCTTCTGAACTTGAAAATAAGATCTTTTATATAGGTGTTGTTTGGCGTAGGCTTTAGGCATCATGTCTGAGATCTCTCGGAAAGACGTGGCCAACCAGTCCAAAGTCCTCGGAGGTAGTGGCGCACGTAGACTGGGTTTTGTGCCTTATTCGGTTTCCTCTGAAACATTCGATGTGGGACCTGACTTTCGGAAGGCCCGGGAGTGACGGAATGCACACATGGAGGAGGTCGGCAAACACGTCTCGCGGGTCACCACTTGGACCTCAGTTGAATCGACAAGTCCTCAAGGGAGGTCGCTCCTTGCGTCGAGGTCCCTTGGACTAGTAATGACGAGGTACCACAGGTCAGCCCAGGATAAGGTGCTCTTAGCCACTTTGCTGAGGTGCTTGAGTTGTGTATGAAGTTGCCAACTGGGACTCCATCTGGTTGGTGGAGGTAGGTCGCAACTGGGTCTCGAGTAGGTCGGTAGTTGGGTTTCCATCATTTTTGGCTAAGGCAAGTCATCGCCCTCGTGGTGTCAGGGTATCGTCCAATTGTTTTGAGATGCCACATGTCATGATCTTAGCGAAGGGTTGAATCTGCCCTCATCAATTGCCCCCACTCCYGATACGAGGTCGGTTCGGCAAAAGGAGTAGCTCGCTATAGGTTTTTGGTTCGGAATGATTGGTTCAATGAGCTTGTAGGCATCAGTCCAATTTGCTCCCCAGGTCAGAAGAGTCTAAGGGTTGAATGTAGTCTTACGCAGGACTTCGCGGTCTTGATTATTAGGGCACAAGAACAAACTCATCTGCTCGATGAGAGGCGGAACAGGCACCTCGAAGACATATACCTTACTAGGGATGCACCCGTCAAGGAGTTTTGCAATTCGGCCAAAGACCTTAAGAGCGAAGTTTGTCATGTCATCCTCAAGAGGGGCTTCCAATTATGTGATTGCCTCGTTAGGTCACTCCACTTACGTAGACTACAACACAATGTCCTTCAAGCCGGTTATCAAAGGAGTAACCAACAAGGTCGATGCAGAGCCTAGAACTGAGGTGGAGGACGATTGTGAAGAAATCGAACAAGTTTGCATGTCTGCCACGGTGCTGAAAGCAAACTAGTCTTCCTTTCCTCCGTTTCTCTTTTCTTTTATTTCAAGTCAGCAATGAGATGTTGATGTCCTTTGAGATTGATTTAAGTGTAGTAGTGGCAGTCAAAACACTACCGAGGTAGATAGATGGAGGGTCAACCTGCTTAGATCGGTTTACCTATTGCCTATGTGTTTCTAGGTCGGCTTGAGGGGGCCTTAGCTAAAAAGTGGGGTGGTTTCCCCTTAAAATTCAGTTTGACCAAGTCGCTAAAGCGGGTGGTCGTAATTTTGGCTRCCAAAACGGTGCCAAACTGCCTAAGTATCCCAAGGTCGGTGTAGGGGGCCTTAGCTAAAAACGGTTTGGCTTCCCCTTAATTCAATTTGACCAGGTCTCCAAAGCGGATGGCCATAATTTCAGCCGTCAAAATGGCACCGAGCTGTCGAGCTACTGATGTATCTCAAGGTCAGTGTAAGGGGCCTTAGCTAAAAGCGGTTTAGCTTCCCCTTATAATTCGATTTGACCAAGTCTCCAAAGCGTATGGCCATTCTGTAGTAGCTTTAAACGCAGTTGCATCTATGACATCACGTGGGATTGACTCTCTCGAGTCTACATTTGTGGGTCAATGCTGCACATGTACTACACCTGCTCCTGGAACTGTTGGCTACCCACTCCTACTGGAGCCATGGGGGGCTCACCTTGAGGAGGTGGCTCTATTGTTTGCGGGTTGCCTACTCTCACAGGAACCATGAAAGGTTTAACCTGTGAGGCCGGTTCCACATTCATCTAGCTGCCAACTCTCATGGGAGCCATGAAGGGTTTGATCAATAGTGAGGCTTTGTAGTTGGGCTGGGAGACAATATGGGCTAGACTGCTGAAGCTCGCCCAGGCTGGTTGTCTAGTTTCTGCCCCCCTTGTGATAGCAATGTTGATATGTGCGTCACTATTGGCACTTGAATGACGGATTAGTGCCACGGCTACACTGCGTCAGCCCTCGGAAATGCTAACCGTCTTCTCCTACAATAAGCTGTAGGGAGCTCAACCTGCGGGGACGACTCTACTAACTATAGGTTGCCAGCTCGCACGAGAGCCTTGAAAGGCTCGACCAGCAAGGGCAACCACAGAGTCCGTTGGTCACCAACTCCCACAGGATCCATGAAGCGCTCGACCTATAGAGGCAACCTCACGAACAGAGTTGTCGAGGCTCATCTGGGCTAATTAACGTTGAGTGCAAATTTAAAATGAGTTGAGAACCTGGCTTTTAAGTGCAAATTTAAAATGAGTTGAGGTCGTCAGGGTGGTTCCATAGTCTATTGGCCATCAACTCCCATGGGAGCAATGGAGGGCTCGACCTACGGGGGCAACCTCATAGTCTGTTGGTCGTTAACTCTTGCAGGAACCATGGAGGGCTCGACCTGTGGGGGCGGCCTCATAGTCAGGGTTGGAAGATTCTATTCGGGCGAGATTGCTAGAACTTGTTCGAGCTGATCATTATGATTCTGCCCCCCGCAGGGGTTCCTTCGATCCAGGCGTTGTTATTGTTGCTTGAGAATGCCATTACTTGAGGCTTAGAACACAGGTGAGAACTTAACTTTTGTGTAGCGTTTCCCACAGACGATGCCAATTGATTGTGTGTGATTTGGATGCTCCTAACTGGAGGGCAGCTCGGACAGTGGTTGCTTAGCTGGCCGGTCGAACTGCAAGGAGAGAAAGGCTCAAAGGACCCAGGGTGGCTTACTCGACATGGGCACTTTGATGCTTAAGTTAGTACTCTTGTTGAGCAGGCTAGATGCTTGAAGGCTATAATGCTAGTAAGCAGTAAATCGTACGTACCTTGTGTCACTGGGGTTGACATCCTTAAATAGGTGAGCTGCCGTAGGTCTCATGAAACACCTCCAAGATCTTTCGGCCCGTGTTGTTAGGAGTCCGTTCCGCTTCGTGCGAGCCAATAAGACTTATCAAGTCCATCTGATTTAGGCGAGATAAGGATAAGACCTACAGTCGTGCGGCATGATCCCAGAGAGTTTGGAGACAACTGGCTCACTTTTAGAAGTTGGCTACATGTCACTTCAGCAGATCGGGCCATCACGAGCTGCTCGGACCTTGGTCTTGGACGAGGTGCCCGAAGTACCTAAGGTGACCTGATTTGCTGAGGTAACAGAAAGTGCCGAATCAATGTCTAATTAACAGGTCGCTTCTATGTGTCCGTACATGAATAGATCGAGCCAAATCATCCCACATCAGCGCCCATTGAAGACGCCGGGTCCATGCTGCACCAAATCCATCAGCTTATCTTTTAATTCTTCTCCACGTCGCGATATATATGTTTGTTTCAATTCGTTATTTTGTATGCTTGTCAGTCTTTGACGTGCAAGACCAGGCTTTATAATCTTCTCTTATACCTTTTCAAAATTTATGATGTAGCAGCCGTTTTTTGTTTTTGTTTAAATTATACATACATCTTTGCATCATTGATTTTATTTTTGAAAACGAACACCTACCAAATCTAATGTACATAAATTTTGGTAAGGCATCAGAGAAGATTATAAATCCCAAAGGACATGAAAAGATGAAAAGCAAAGAGATTTTTATTGTTTAGTCCACCGATAAAGTTTATAACAGCCGAGGGAATTAATTAAAATTCAAAAAACCATAAGTGGAATTGTCGATAAATAAAGCCCAAAAACCTAATAAAATTCCATAAGGTGAATTAAACTCTAAAGGTCTATTTGATTCATAGTGGGGATTAGAATTGGAATCAAAACATAATCTGTTTGGTTTAAACAAGAATAGAATTGGAAATTAAAATAATCTGTAATGGATTTTCTTTCTCAATGGGAGAGAGGAAAATGGCTATTCCCTTAAATGGGAGGATAATGAAAACAGATTTCCGATACTATCCAACCAAACAATTGAATCAAAAGGGCCAATTTCAGACTCCTATTCCGAGACCTAAGTTTCCCAAGATTTTAGTTATTTCGTCACTTCAATTGCGGGGTGCGGGGGGATTTCGGATATTATACTGATTTTCTTGTATGTCCGACCAAAATCCATAGGCCCAATACATCAGTAGTACTCATCTATTCTGTGTATGAACATGGAATTGGGTCTGAGTATCGAACGCATAACTCTCGCTCTTACAAATGAATCTACGGGCAACTTTTTTTGATTGTGGAGTCCACCTAATTAATAGATTGAAGTATAATATAAATCTAGGATCCAACACATCCACCTCCATCTTCACAATTCACATGGGCGCAGGCATTGGTGATCGGTCCCACCTCACACCAATCCAATAACTAAAAGCTCCCCATCATGTGAGTGAGTGGAGGTGTGGAGCCTCGTCATTTGACTCGTCTGCTCTTATATTCCGGTGGGCCCGACGGCTTGTATTGTGTATATGGAGAGTATGGAGTCTAATCTATGGATGGACATGGACTCTTCTATCTTCTCATTCGGTTCTTACTAAACCCGCCGTGATCAAATCAATTTCATCCGTCCGATCTGAACCCTACCTGTAGAGCAACTCTTTTGACCCTTAAAATGAGCACAAAATATTTGACACGCATACTTATGTTTGTCTACGGTGCCAAGTGTCAATCAATCTACGGAGTGATATAATTGGCTTAGTGATGTGTCTTGTTGGCAAACACATGCAACGTGGCAAGACATTGAATGCCGGACTGCGACTGCCTGAACTACGACCACGCAGACGCAGCCGCAGCCCTGCCCGAAGGTAATTTCGAAAATTTCAGCAAATGAAAGGGTATTTGTTGTTAAAAATAAATAAAATATTTCGTGGTTTTTTGATTCGACGGTCAATAGTCGAGGGGGAGGGATAGAAAGAAAAGAACGAGAGAGAGTGGGGGGAGAGTCTCGTCTCGACTCGTTCGTATAATCAAGTGGTTTGATATGAAACTTGGTTGTGTGGTCATGGTGGTCGCGAAGAGGGCTTGAAAGCAAACCAGACGAAGCTGCTCAGTGCTAGAAATACCAACTTCCAACCAATCAATATAGAAGAGGCCCCCTTTTTTTTTTTTCTTTCGTCATCGTTTCCTTTCTCTTTCTTTCTCTGTATCTGTAAATATTCGTCGCTTATCGGTTTCTTCTTGCTTTAATCGATGAATAGATTCGACTGGGTTTCGCCTCTGCTCGAGCTTCGAAAAGGTACGTGGGGAAGGAAGGACCTCGTTCTGTTTTCTGGCTCTTCAGATCTTTGGAATCTCTGTTTGACTTTTCCCTTTGCCTGCTCGTTTATTTGTGTACTTTCATATTATTTTTTTTCTGGTGTTTGTTTTGGGATTTTTCGCGGTTCACTGTTTGGAGATTCAAATCTTTAAAGATTTGGACCTCTTTTTAGTTCTCTCGTTGTTGATTCTTAATGTTCGTTTAATGTGTGCCAGTGAATTCAAATGGCACCTTATCCGGTTTTTATGCTATAGTTAGGGTTTTGTATTAGTTTATCCATTAATGTTGTGGATTCCTATTTCCCCCTTCTTCTGTTGGGAAATTGATGGAATTGCATCTCGTCGATCCCATATTATGTTATTGTTGACTTTCAGCCTCCTGCTTTGATGTTCTAATTTCTAAATTCAGTGTTATGCTGTTTTATGCGTCTATTTCCCCTTAATTTTCTTTAAAAACATTCATTTCTTTTTTCATATCAGAAATCTTTGTTTCTTATTTAACATTAATGCTGAACAATGGTTAATGACCATCAGTCGGTGGCTCCATATGGGATTTTCTCAAGAACCTATATTGCTATTACTTTTCAATGGTCCTTAACAGTTATTAAATGGCTGATATTAAAATGTGCAAATTCAGAGGCATAAAGGTCTTAGAATTAGGATTTTCTTGTTTTATGGTATGCCAATTTTGTCTACATAAATATACAATTTCGGATTGTGGCTATCCAATGTTAAATTATTCTTTTTCAAGAAAGAGGTAAGGTATTGTATATTTGTATTATATCACCACTATAAACTGCTTATCAAAAAAAAAAAAAAAACATCAGTTTAAGCTTCAAAGTTACATGTATGTGTCAAGTGTGAATCATGTACAGCCAGCAACTATACACCATACTGAGCAAGCGATAATTTGTTTTATTTTAATTATTCATCTATCGTGATGTTTTTTAATTTCTCTTGCAGGGTTTGGGTAATATTTGCTGGAAGCTCCATTTTATTCTCTAGGCTTTTACATGTACAATGTGATTTTGTTTTATTTTGAATGATGATGAGCTTGTCCAGTAAACGTATCACAACCAACAATGCGAGACTAAATACACCAAGTAAAACTACAACTTTAAATCCAAATGCTACAGAATTCATTCCTTATGCTCTTAGGAGTCCATCTGGAACCACCGGTTTTACAGATGCATCAGCTAGGCTTGATGGCTCAGCAACATCTGGAAAAGCAGTGTTAGATCGGTCAGAATCCAGTGCTTCAAATAACTCCGATGATGAGGTCCACCAGTACTGGCGGCACCAGCTTCCTGATGATATTACTCCAGACTTCAAGTTCACAGAAGAAGATGATTTGCAAGGGCCAGGGAGCTTCTCCCTTACTGGCTTGTCCATAACTGATGAGGATGACACCTCAAGTTTTTCTGCATCCACAGGCAGTAGCCAGATGTTGAACAAGATACAGGAATTGTCTTCTTGTGGCATTGATGGTAAAAACACGGTTAAGAATATGAGATATTTAGTCCCATCATATGGGGAAGATCAATCAACTGCTTTCACAAATTTACCCGCTTATCCTTGGGAAAAGCAATTCATTAATGGTGATCAGCACATCAGAAATGGAAATGGAGAGTTTCCTTACAGTGGGCACTCCAGTGTTGGATTTCTAAATCATGCGTTAAGTAATCACATGGTTTTGAGTGATTCTGACCTGAATCCTGTGGAGTTTTTGGCTTTGCAGTTCCCTGGTTTTGCTGCTGAAAGCCTTGCAGAAGTCTACTATGCAAATGGGTGTGACTTGAACCTAACTATTGAGATGCTCACTCAACTTGAGGTATGCTCTATTCTTCCATTATAACTTATCTTTATTCAAGGAAAGGACACATGCTTCTCATAGAATTTTCTTTGTAATAGAGAGTGTAAATAACCTTTTGTTTTTTATTTCTTGGATGGTTTGGGATAGTTGCTCAGGATGGTTTGGGATAGTTGCATATCTGTTGTTCTAGCAGGCAAGGCTAAGTGCGTCATCTTTGTCTTCTGCAACCTACATATATGGTGGGACTACGTCACTATTTGCCTTCTGGTGTGTGATTTCATAAGTCCAGCATGCCTGTTAGATGTAGAATTCAAGAAAAACTGCACAAGGCATTATCTACTTGGTAGTTGGTACTAGTACTTACCTCTTAGCATGCTATACTCCTTGGAGCAATGATGATTACATGTGCATATTGTTCCATACTCTTGCACACCATCCAAGAGTTGGCCTACCCCCTCAGTACTCTTGATTTAGGTGTTGCAGAATGAATATTTTGTGAGATGAAGGGAACTTTGTTGTCAATTCTAGGGGTAAAGTCTCGTTTTTTTTTTCATTGTAGGTCTACTTGCTTGTGTTATTGTTTTTTATGGAAAATATGATTATTTCTTGCTAAAAGATTTTAGAATCATCTGTTAGGATTGTTTTTCTTTTTGTTTAAAATTGATTCTACCAACTTTCTTACCTGAACCCTTGAAACTGTCTTTACCATATTATGTAGCTTTTTGCCATAAGAGCTTGTGCATGCTGTCCAACAGTTTTCCTTTTGGCTCTGTTTGATTTGCTAGAAAGAGGTGGGAAAGATGGAATATTCCTAAAATATTCCACTTTCCCATGTTTGTTTTGTGAGACACACGAAAATGGGATAGGAAAATAGGGGGACGTACTTTATCAAAAACTGGGATTTGGGGTCGCACAAAAACAGTGCGACCCCGGTGAGAAAATAAAGGGAAAGAGTATCGGGCTTGCTTGTTAAAAGAGTTTGTTGTCTGTCTTCTCCACCTCCTATGCCCAATAGCAGCATCCAAGCTTCCGGTGACATTTTCAGATAGATGGTTGTCTCCACTTCCTATGCTGCAATCACAGTGGGCCTGGCTGCCATGGTTTCCGACAACCAATTGCCAATGCTCTCTCTCTCTCTCTCTCTCTCTCTCTCTTCAGCGTTTGATTTCCTTCTACCATTTTACTTCGATCAAGATATAACCTATTTTTTCTTGAAAAAACAGAGCTCTTTTCTTCTCTTCAACTCTCCATCTCTTACTCTATGTTATCTCCCCTGTCTACTACATGGATATTACTGTTCTCCTAATACAATGATTTCCACCAAATGTTTCCAAACACCACTTCCTTCGATTAAAATTGTGATTTTCATAAATTATTTCCAAATGCACTCAAACTCATTCTGATAATTAGTTATTTTCAGAATTTATCCAACTATAGAACAAATAGATGCCCTTCAACTGTAACAGATACAATGTTCAAAGCCCAGAAACCAATAAACGAATCCCAACTTTGGCAAGGCAGTAGTGTTGAAGCCCAGCTTTAAATCTCCTCTAAACCTGAAAAATTGCAATCACCCACCATATGTTCGACAAAATTCCCTGTCAAATACCTTCGCTTGGAACAGTCTCATCCAAGCCCATGTCACCAGTCGTGATCCCTATCATCTAATTTGGAGCTTATGGGCACTTGAAATCACTACAGGAAGAAAAAGAATTTATGAATCATGATACTATAGGACAAAGTGGGTTAAAGTGCCTTCTCACAAATGCCATTTCATGGATAGCAATGGTCCGTTGTTATGTGAAAAATTTTGGATTCAATGAGTTTGAAACTATTTAGAGGGACAATTGATTTTTTGGAGCTAAATAGTTTTATTCTCAACTCTGGTTTATGTCATGTTTTCTCTCTTATTTTCTCGTAAACCAAATGATGGAAAATGAAAACTTCACACTTTCTCATCCCATCATTTCCCATCCCACCCAAATCATCCCACAAACCAAACAGAGCCTTTGAGATTCTGTAACTTCATGGCCATAATATACTTGCTTTTGCTCTTATTTTGAAGAAAGCAAGCATAGTTTGTTTTTCTTGGGGGGGGGGGTATGCTTGCTAAATATATATTGTAAGTTGTACTTTTAATAATTACCTAGGTGTACTCAGTGAAGGATCCATTGTTAAATACAGTATACTTATAATTGCAGCTTCAAGTTGATAGTGGCTTGAATCAGAACCTTAGCTCAAAAACCTCATCAGCTCCAAACCTCAGTGCGCTGGACTTCCCTGCACTTGCTGTCTCAACTTGTCAAAATGGTCCATCAAAGTATTCAGCAAACGCTATAGAAGAAACTACAAATCCATACCAATCATCTGACAAGGATAATATTCTTTTATTCAAGTCCAGCTATTCCACATCATCTAGAGGTGCTACAGATTTTGCTTCAGCTGTCAGAAAATTGGCATCTCAGGATTCTGGTGAATGGAAATATGAGAAAAATGGTTCAATGCACACCAATGTTGGTTCAAGTAAAAGTTCCCTTATCCTATCTAGCTCTTACAGTGGTGGGCACGGAAAGTCCACTTATGGTGATAGGTTACAAAATCATGGTTCGGCACGGGCTGCTCCTGTTTGGCTTGAGACTGGAGAAGCAGTTGGTAATGTTTATGGATCATTTATCTTATTAAACATCACTTTTTTGTACACATATACATAAAATATATCAGTGTTATCAATGCAGTTTGATGATAACTAGTTGCTTTAGTCTTCTCTAGTTGATGTGATGATTAACCAATGCTTAGGTGCTAACTAGTAAACCAAAAGAAGATGTGTTCTAATGCCACCCTATAAAATAAGTTTTTAGTCTGCAATTGTGCAATAAAAGAATGATATTTTACGTTTTACTTGCAATCTTTGTTTTTGCAAGCATAAATAAAAGATCAGATAAGTTGGGTTTTACAGCCTTTGTTTCAAAGAAAAAGTGCATCCTTGCTGTTTGATATGCCCTTTGTTTGTCGCTCTGTACCAAGACAGCACTATTGGAAGAGATGAACTCCATTTTCGTCTTATATTTAATGCTCTATTCCTATTTTAAATACTATCAGTAAACCATCATAGTTGTTGAGGTGTCACCTAGGTGACAAAAATGATAAGGTGGCTGCTTTATTATAACATCATTCATATTTCTACATTTTACTAATATTTGACTTAATACATTCTATTATATACTATATATCATTACACTTTGTTTTAAAGTTTTACTATTGATATTTAAAAGATCCAAGGGTTTTGTTAAGAGAAAAAGAAAGAAAGAATAGTATAAAGATCTCTCTCTCTCTCTCTCTCTCTCTCTTCCTCCCTCTCTCTTATATTAAATAAAACAGCAGCTCCACCTTGTTCTTTGTCTTTCACTTTTTTTGGTAAATCTTTGTCTTTTAGTTATTCCATACCTTAGATTTTATCATAGAATTATATAAAATTATCTTTTTGATAATAAAATAAAATTTATAAGGACAAAGAATAATACAAGGAAGGTAACCAGAAATCACTTGAGAGAAAAATTTAATTTCCAACCACAATACCAACCCAAAGACTCAAACAAAAATTATAGCCTTCTTTAGTTGTTAATTTGATATGAAGTTGCTCTAGTAAATTCTTATTATATTAGTATTGTTTTTGAAACTATTGAAATTAGTGTCTTTGAAATACTATTGTCCTAGGTATCTATCAAGAAAAAAAAACTATTGTCCTAGATATGATGATTTGCCATGTTTTGAGAGGAAATTTGATGTTCTTAATAAAGTGAACTGCTAGTTTTTTGATAAATATGCATGATGAATGGTATATAAAGTATTAAAATTAGGAAACTAGGAAAATGTAGTTTTTTAAGGTTGCATTTTGTAAGAGTGAAAATGGTGAATGCATTTATGTGTATGCAAATTTGTTCAAATAGAAGGATGCAAATGTGGTCCAATTTTGCACTTATAAATTTACAGTGTCTTGTTGGTTGTGACGGGTGCAAACATGAATCTCAAGGCTGGAACCAACCTATTTTACATTGACCAACCTTGAGTGAAACGTCTGCTTCCATTTTTTTGATAGCAAACTGCTCTCACTTTGAATGCAAAAACGGTTGAAAAAACAGAATTACTTACATTTTCAGTGCAAAAATGTTTTCCTAACAAACACCTGTAAAACTGCACTGGAGTGCAAATTCACTGCAGTTCTGCATTTGCACTTTATCTAAACACAGCCCTAGTGAAATTCTTATCATCTATGCATTGCCTAGGCACCAGCGTAGTAAATACTTAGAGATATAACAAACAAATAAAGTTCTAAACTAATTTCATGGTTGACTAGGTTGATTGGTCTACCTAGCCAATGCTTAGTTTGTCCCAGGTGAATGCATTACGAATATCAACAAAATGAATAGACCCTTAGTGACATTTTGGTGTAGCCAATGCTTAGTAGGTCTAGCTCTTAATTGACTTGTCAGTTGACATCTATGGTTAGTCAACAACTCAACATTCCGATAACACTGATATATGTATGATGAACTACTCTGCTTGTGCTTATACACATGCACACACATAAATGGTACTTTTGCTTTTATATTTGCTTTAACAATTCTAAGATGACAGCAAATATGTATTCTGAGCTGAGGGGGGAAGCACGTGATCATGCACGCCTTCGTAATGCATGCTTTGAACAGGTATTGGAGTTCATTGCTGTACACATTCACCTCAGAATGATGATTGTTTTTAATTAATTTGTTCAAGTTGATGCATATGTCAAAAACTTGCATGCAGATATTTCTTTTGGCATTGGAAGAAAATTTAAGCAATCAGATGTCACATGTGTAATATATGGACAAGTACTACACTATAATTAATTTGGGGACCCAAAGAGCCATGAGGCCCATATGATCTCTTCACCCTCTGTTAAGAGTGCATGTTTCGGCCTGAAAATCTTGTGCAATGTCTATAAAAGACTGTTGTAGAAATTTATTTTGAATTTGAAAAGTTGAAGCTTTGAATAGCCATTATTGATTGATAAATCTTGAATACAAGGTGGCTTACAGAGTCAACTTGTCCCGGGGGATGAACATACTGCCACCCCCAAAGATTTCCTTATCTAATGGAAGGTTTAGAATCTTCAGATAGGTCAAATTACTCCTTTACATGGAAGAAATAAGTAAATTGTCTAGAGTAGAAGCCTAATTGACCTGATTAGACTCCCATTTCTAAAGTTGGGGTATTTGAGAAAGGAAACTGTGATTAATAAACTGCTCTCCAACAAATTAAGGTAAAAAATAGTTTCACCGTGTCTTACTTGTAAGCAGTAAATATAATATGCTCTTGAAATGATATAATGAAACTATGAATAAATAGAGGTATGAAAATAACACATTTCATCTTTCTTTGGCATAGCTTCACACCATCTGTGGTGTTCAATCAAACATCTGAGCAAAAGGAATGAATTGAGTTGAGTAGCACAATAAGAATTATCACTTTGCTAATTAAATGTTCTTTTATAAAGCCTAAATGAACATGCTTTTATAAGTCTTCAGGATACGAGCTTGTTGTGGTTTCTGATGTTGGTTTAAGGTTGTGAGGTACCAGGAAAGGGGAGTTAGTAAATTTAATTTTGATGGCTGTGCTATATCCAACAGTTGTTCTTCTGGGGTGGGTTTAAACATTTAGAGATCAAAATAGTAACATTTTACCTAGTTTCTACTCTTCTGATTGGACAGAACTGATAATAAAGAGAGGGCTAAGCAGCAAAGGTATTAGCTTCTTTCTCTATTGAATAGCTTGTTCAGGTGGGTTCCCAAAAGAGCTAGTTTTGTAGCCAATTCACTTGCTAGGGGTTTGATCTGCCGACTTGAGAGCATGCTTTGTTTTTTCTTTTGTTAAGCTCTATGCTATCTTATATTTCAGCTGTATTTTCTCTGTTATTAGGTTAGTAATTCGTAGGTCTCTGTAATAAATGCATGTCTGATTGTTAATGATCAAAAAATGTATTTGATATGGCTTTGGAAGATGCCTGTTTTTATGGTGCTGGTAATTGGTTTGGAAGGGAGATTTGGTCTTTGTGATAAATCCTTGTGGGGAAGCTCCATATAAGGATTGTTCTGGAAGTGTAGAAAATTATCAGTTTGGTTTGCTAGGTTTCAATTTTATGGCAAATTGTGCATTGCTTTTATGTGTCAATCTGTGCAAGGGAATCATGGCCTAAGTTGTCCTGAAGGTAAGGAGATCATGTAGTCTAATGTTCTATGTTCCAAACAAGTTTAATGGATTTGAAAGTAGCTGAGTAGAGACATGGTGTATGATACATCTTTCAAAATTGCCAAAAGACAATATGGTATTCATGCATTTATGGAGTTGCAAGAAGACATTATCATATGCATATTGATCACAAGGTGGCATATTATATGAAGCAATTGAGTTATACTCTCTTAAACTTTAAAAGCATAATGAGATTCAACTGTAGGCATTTGATAAATAGAGAATGCTCTTGCTCATCACGTCTCTCTCTAGTAATGTCCACCCTACAAAGCATTGCATTTTCTTCCTTGGTAATTTTTACAAGATGTTCATTCATTACAAGCAAGAAAAAAACAAGATATTCATTCATTTTGAAGTTGAGTGGATTTAAATAACAAAGAAAATATCCATTGTGACCCCCTCTGGTATCTGTCATTCACTTGTTCTACCCATGGTAGTTTGAACACAACTACACCAGTGCACCCATTATTAAAACCTGGCCATTCTGTTGTTGGATGATGGACATAATTGAAGTGGTACTTAGATCCTCTAAATGATATGCCTCTGTCCTTGTTGCCAAGTGTTATTTCACAAGGTGGGTGGTAGACAAGCCACTATGGAATATAACCTCCATGGAAGTGACTAGGGTTTTTTTTCTCATAGTTAAAGTAGGAATTTATTAATTTCAATAGAATTGTGCATTATGAACAGCCCGTGGAGAGGCGCAAGCTGTGACCTCTCCTAAATAAGAAAATAAACAGACAGAATAAATTACAACTGAAAAAACAAAATCAAAATTGAGCCCAGCACAGCTTCCTTATCTTCTCCTTGCTTGGCTAAGTAATCAGACACGGTATTAGCTGATCTCCCCGCCCATTGTAATCTGACATGCATGTTTCTTGTTAATCACTTAAACTTCTTGATTTCCTTACCATAACACCAAGAGATAGACTCAGGATCCTTCATCCATCCCACCATCACCTTAGATTTGCCTCTAATCACCAAATTCTCCACTCTTAGCTCATTTGCAATCTGGGTTCCTGGCATGGCAGTGAGTAATTCAACCCTTGTTGAATCTCCTACTCCCACAGAACCCGAGAATAAGGTCAAAACAATACCATCCTTGTCTCTAAGAACCCCTCCAATTCCAGAAGGACATTGGTTGCCTGGATTGCCTCGACTATCTCCAAGAAATCCTTGATTTCATTCCCAGAAGTGACTATGTTTATCAAGCACAATCTGAATATATCATACATTTGTTCAGCATTTTGCATATTCTTACTACATTTAGAAAGCCATAAAATACCAGTTATTTCTCCCAACTTCCTGTCCAAAGGATTCCAATTGCGTAGGCTGTTTTTGTTTGCAGTGTGAATTTTATTTGCACTGGTATAATTGTATAAATGAATAGGAGTACAAATGGGCTGAGTGTAAATCCTGGTTTACTTTTTCTTTAGAGTTGATTTTGTTTTGTTTGTTTGTAAGTATAATAGGAAGTAAAATGATGTGGCCCTCACTTTATATGAAAGAGAATTGAGGTGGGAGGAAGGTTATTTGTTCGGGAGTAAGGTAAGAAGCAAATTGATGCAGTCCCTACTTTATTTGAGAAGAGAATTAAGGTGGGAGTGCAAATCATAGTTACAAACAAACAGATGTAAATTTTGTATCTGGTTTAGATTTGCATTGCAAACAAATGGAGCCTTAATGAAAGCTTGATAAATAATTCAACCTTTTCTTCTATTACCAAAATTTACAATTTTTCATTTCCATTATCATTACCCCTGATATGTATTAGAAAAAGGAACCAGGCAAGGTGTCAAATTCTTTGTATTTTCTGAGTTGATTCCTCTTTCCTCCTTTTAATTGATATAGTTCCCCAACTGTAATAACTCTTTACTAGAAATTGGGCTTTGTAATCTATTCATAAATCTAACTACAGTGCTCTGACTTTTGAGTTGATGAGCCAAAATTTAGAACACATTGAGTAATGCACTGCAATGCTTCTGTGGTAGTCTAGTATCACTATCAATCAGTAATGCAGGCTTGGGATTGTTTCAGCATGTTGGTGATTATCCATATTACCTATACATCTAGCATACCAGCGTCTGACATGATAGATACAGCACTTGAAACTGCTTGGGCACTCTCTAGACGTGCTCTATATTGTTACCACTTTTAAAACATATAAAACAGTGTAATTTTACAATTTATACAATAGCAATCTGTACATAATAGATATTTGATTAAATTTGTCATGACATCAGTCTTGAAAAATGACAATTTAGCTTCAAAAAGTAGAAATAGAATTGTCATATTAAGCATATTACATGGGATACCTTATCTGTATGTGTCCAAGATTTTAGGAAAGGAGTCATATTCTCACATTGTCAATGTTCRTTTATCCCATGTTTGGTCATCATAGGTGATGATACGACCATTGCATATTGTTGGGAAACTTTCCTAGAAAGAATCAACTCTGGTGATTTGCTTCAAAGAAAGAGACCCAAGACATGCTTATCCCCACATAGATGCATTCTCTGCATAGCTGATGGGGAGACTGGTTATCACCTTTTAGTTACTTGCCATTTTGCCAACACAATTTGGGAGTGGGTATTCTCCCTTTTTGGGTGTAGGTGCAACCCCCCTTTGAATGTGCAAATTTTAATTACTGATTTTACTCTAGATGACTTGCTGAGAAAGTGGGAAGAGGTTGCCAGTTCTGCCCAGGCTAGAACTGGGCTAAGTCCTTCTTGGACCCCCTCCCCCTACTGGATATATAAAGCTGAACTTTGATGGCAGTAGTAGAGGGAACCCAGGACTATCTGGTATTGGGGGAGTATTCAGGGATGAGAATGGGAATGTTTGAGCCATGTTTTTAGGTCCAAAGGACAAAGGAATTGAATATAAAGAGGCTTGTGGTTGAAGGTGACTCGAAGGTGGTAGTAGGGTGGCTGAAAGAAGATAAGGCTGGGTTGTGGAACTATAGCAATGAAAAGAAAATTTTCAAGTGGTTGGATATGGAAGTAAAGTACAGTTGGGTGAAGACTGAAGAGGTCTGCTAACTCTTTTGCTGATGGATTAGCCAAGCAAGGGGTGGCTTGGGAACCTATGTTTTGGGCTCTTTTGTAATTCTGTTTTACTGCTTTTCTGGGGGCTCTTACCCCTGCCTGGGGAGTTAAGATAGTTTATCTCTCCTTCCTTGTAACTAATATTTATATCAATTTACGAAAGCTTTTGTTATTGATAAAAAATGACCATTGCATATTACATTAATGTGGTAAGCAGTACCTCCTACAGAGAGATGCTAAAGAAGCATGTACTGACTACACTGTTGGCAATGTTAGGTTCGTCAGTGATATCATGCTTATTAGTACTTTTTTTTGATACAATAGGAAGAAGCAAAAACTATCTGAGCAGAGCCCTGCCCCAATAGTCCATATTACAAATGTAAATAAGATCCCACAAGAAGCCTCTTGACAAATTGATAGGGCTTTGTGGCCCATGTTTGCCAACTAATCGGCACTCTAGGGGGTGTGAGTGCTTGATTTCCATCACTTGTCCCTCCTTTATTCTACTACAGTCTTTAATTATCTGTTGACTTGTCCATGGAGGTTTCATGTGCTTTCTCAGAAATTCAAGTCATAACTTTATTCTCCCTCTATCTAGCTCTTTGTGTATCCATTCTCAGCTGCCAACTTGCAAGCTTCCAAGGCTACCCAGCGTTCAGCTATGGTGGAGGAAATACCTAGGTTACCTGCATGAGTGAATAGGAAGGTCCCCTGAAATCTCTTGCAATTCATCCAAAAGCACATACCCCACTTAACCCGCAGGGGGGCGACTATTTCCTCCTGCAGGGGGGTTCACTTAACCCAACTTTCCTTTTTATCCATTTTTTTTATTGTTGTTTGATTTGTTTCCATGTAATGTGCAAGAGCTTTTCTTGCTGGACTTTCATCTCTATTCTTAAACACTTTGGAGCATCTATTTTTCCATATATACCATAGTAACTTTTTTCCATGCTTATTAGTATTAGTGCACTATGTTCTCCTACTAAAATACACTCCTTTGAACAGGCCCGACAAGCATATCTTATTGGCAACAAGGCTCTTGCAAAAGAATTAAGTGCAAAAGGACAGCTGCACAATGCGCATATGAAGGCAGCTCATGAAAAAGCCCAAGAAGCTATCTACAGACAAAGGTTAGTCCTCTCCAACCAGCCAAGTGAAGATTTTATTGCAGTTGTACTGCACACATGGAGAGAGAAGTCCTGTGAATAAGGCCAACCAGAGATGGTTGTAGTTTATTTCCAAAAATGCAATGGGAACACTTATCAGAAGAAATAAGATGGGATCTTCTTCAAGCAAAAACTCTGCACTCTGCAAGCATTTGGGCATCCAGCCGCACATTGGGAACATCTTCCTATGAATTTAACATGCATGCACGGAGATATTCCCTATGTGCAGTTTGATGCTGTGTGCACGGATTTTTGCTTGCAGGAGATCCAGGTTCTCCAAAAATCTGTTTAAATTGGCTGATATAATGGAAAATGGCAAAATAGTCGAGTGTCATGGTACATGACAAAGTGCAGTAAAAGTTGTACAATGTCCTATTATAAGTTTATGAATAATGATGCTACAGGCGATGAAAGATCATTTATCCTTACTGGTTTAAGTTGGTTTTATATAATATTGTCTGGATAGTTATTTGAACATCTTATGGGATATCAACTGCATCTTTAATTGGGTGGTTGAAGCTGTGAAGAAAATGGTTGGGTGGGTTTTCTTAATTAAGTGCATTTGCTGGTTATGCTGGTTCACTGTCTTGCAGGAACCCGGTTTCTCCAGAGTTCCAGGGCTATAGAAGGGGACAAGAGCAGATGATAGACCTTCATGGACTCCATGTAAGTGAATCCATTCGTGTGTTGAAGCAAGAGCTTAGCATCTTGAGGGCTGCGGCCAGGTCCAATGAACAGCGCCTGCAGGTCTATATTTGTGTTGGAACGGGCCATCACACCAAGGGTTCCCGCACTCCAGCAAGGCTTCCTGTTGCTGTGGAACGATACCTTCTTGAAGAGGAGGGCCTTGACTACACAGAGCCTCAGCCAGGGCTGTTGCGAGTTGTGATATAGTTCAGGGACATGACACAGTTATGTTGTAGGAGTTTTTGATACAATCAGAATGACCAATCCATCATTGTCGACTTCATTCTTGTATGTGTACATGGGAAAAGGAAGAAGAGAAATAGAGAAGCAAAAGCCTGAAAAGAGAACTGAAAAATTTAAGAAAAAGGGGGGGAATGCAAGGAAAAGAGGAGGAACTATTGTTAAGGTTTATGGTGGCGGGGTGACTATCACGTCACATTTTGGAAGTCTTGGGGCGAGTATCCACAGGCAGTTCTCAATTCTATCCTTTTTTTTCTTCTACTGTTTATTTATTTTCTTCTTACAAACCCCCTCCCCCTCCAAAAAAAACACACCCAGTTGTAAGCCTGTTACTCAGAGAAGTGATGTACATGATATCTTAATGCAGTAGCTTGGTTTCACTCGATGCGTCATCCGATGGGTGGCTAGGCTGAAAATATTCAGTAGGTTTTAAAGGGTACTGTTACGAATCATATCATATGTTTTTCTAATGTGACATTTTCTTCTCATGCAACATCTAAGTAACAAAGATGATCCATCTATCAAAAAAAAAATCCTGATTTGTTTGACATCTTTATCTTAATGTGTCAAAAATGTCTGGCACATAACCATCTCACTCTACCAGTAGAGAGATGTTCTACAACAGAGGTGTGTTCTTTGTTAACATCACCCAGTAATATTGACCCCCACCGCCACCACCACCAGATTTGGATAATACTTTTCCTGTGACGCCAAAAGAAAAAGGTTCGTTCGTTTTTCGGTAAGTTATTTATTCGGGTAAGTGTTTCTCGGGAAATATTTGCCCAGGCAAGTATATTTATTTATGTTCTTTTATTTCTTATATAAATAAGACAATCACCATTTTAGCCATAAAAATCAATTATTAAAAGGGATATTTTTATCCCATTCAAGTGTTGGCAATTTTCCCTCGGATGGAAAAGTTATTTACCTACTAATATCCAAAAAAATATATCCAATAAATTTTTTCTGGTTCTCACATAAATCTAAAAAAGAACATGGAATTCTTGGTCAATGGGAATTAAAATTCCATTGACCAACTTTTCCTCCTCTTAAAATCCAAAATAAGAACATTCCCAAAATATCGTGTTTTCACCAGATTGGCTCACGTTATTTGCTACCCAGAGATGCTATTCATGTTGTTATATGATTGTCATCTCCATGGACCATGCATCCATGACAACATGTAATATGAAACAGTTGCAGGCAGCTATGAATCATTGAGCGGTGTTATTGGACACAAAATACCAAAATCTCACACATTAATTTATGGGTAAAAGACTTAAACATACTCTGAGTTTTCATAAACTGACTTAAACATATTTTAAAATTTTCAAATAGACTTAAATTTACCTTAAGGCTGATCCCACCGGCTTTAAACATACCTCCATCAATGAAACAACCCATTTAAAATTTTTAAAATCCTATTTTGCCCTTCTAAGCATGAAAGAGAAGAAAGAGAAATGAGGTGGAAGAACAACTTGCCTGGTCTTTAATTTAATGCACCTAAGGCTCAGTTTGTAAGGAATACAAATACAAATATGTACTGTACAAATGCATACAAAATACAAGGTTTTGCACTCTACATATTTATATTTGTACTCCTTCCAAATGGACCTAAGCTGTAAATGCAGAGACTGACTTGCCTGGATACGATTGCCATTTTGTCTGATACTCTGATGTCCTTGTTAAACTAGAAGCATTACATGAAGAAGATAAACTCCCAATCATACTTGCTTGGAAAATTGATTATATGGCTGGACCGTCTATGCATTCAATCAAACTATAAGCACCAAATCGATTGATTGTTCTGTTGATCGAGGAGTTCCTCTCTGAGGTGGTCGGTGAGTTTGCATTGGTAGTTTTGCTCACAATAAACCACACACATTACAGTGATTTTAGAAACAGGTTTTGTTGGGTGAATCTCCGAAGAGAGAAAGGGAGTAAAGAAAGACAAGCCTTGGATCCATGGCACCGAACATGGGAATGGGAGGAGAAGCTTCCACCAAGCTATGATGTTTAGTGGACTGTATGAATGAATAATGATATGGTTTGATGAATGGAGAGAGAGATCACCCTAAATTTATCAAATAAATACTTAGGGTATGTTTAAGGATAAAAAATTATAAGGTATTTTTAAGTCTTTTTAAAAAACGTAAGGTACAATTGAAAAAAAAAAACTCAATGTATGTTTAAGTCTTTTATCCTAAGGTTACTAGGAGAGAGGTGTGATAATATTGAAAAAGCTTTGATCAATTAAAACTCCCTCAATTTGATGAATATCAACTGGTTATTATTTTTATGATAGAGGTTGAATGTTTATATGGTTTTCTGCAATCTTACCTTTTTTTTTGTACTTAATGCCATTTTCGGTTAACCTATAAAAAAACGGACAGTTAACCGAACCAATCGGTATATATATTTATATGTATATTTTATAAATATTTTTATTATATGTCACATATTTTCTATGTATTTTATATAAATATATATTCATTATATATAAATATATATTTATAATGATCTATTTATAAATATATTATTAAAATATTTATAATATATTATATATCATTTATTATTTATAATATAATATTATACATATATTATATTTATATAATATATATTATAAATATAAAAAACCGAAAAACTGAAGAACCGAATCGGCAAACCGGTGGTACCGGTTCAGTTTACAAAAAGGGGCCATGGTTCGGTTAACCGAACCGTGGACACCCCTACTTCATAAATGTTGATTACTATTTGGGGAAATGAAATTTGGGGGTAGTGTCAAGTTAGTATCCAAATTTTTAAACATGTCACTGTATTACCTAAACTTTCAAAAAATACAAATTGGTCCCTGCTTTAACCAACTATCTATTGAAAATATCAAAACTACCCTTCAAAAGAAGACATTGTTCATTATCTTCTACTTTGGAACTGAACTGGTTATGTTCAAAGAAAAAGAGAGAAAAAACATGAAATATGATAGAGGAAAACAATAACTAAAAGCAAAAAAACAATTAGACAAGAATGCATTTCAGATCTAAAGGTAGAAGGCAATGACTTCATTAGTCTAAAATATCAAATACCTTAATCGGCAGGCCTGTAAATGGTATTCGAAAATCCAAATTCAAATCCGAGATTCGACACAATCGAATCGAATTCGGATAGTTCGAATCAGATATTCGGTCGAATTCGAATATGTAGTGATCCAATCCGATAAATATCCGAACCGATATATATATATATATTTGTACATTAATATAATAAATAAAATCTCTTAGGGGTAAATGAGAAAATTTGTTCCTCAAACCCCCAGTCAGTCGACCCTAAACCCTAAATCACTCGACATTTTCTTCTCAGCCCAGGTTTTCTTCTCTCTTCCATCTCTTTGCAAACCCTAACCCTAATCCTCCCTTCGCCACCACAGTCGCCGTCGCTTGAGCAACCACATCGGCCACACCAGCAACTCGACGCCACTCGAGCAACCACCATCACTATCTCTTCTATCTTCTCCTCTATCTCTTCTCTTTCAAGTTTCAAATCTCGATTCATTACCGCAACCGCTCGAGCAACCACCATCACCAACAAGCAAGAGGCAACAACAACGTCTATGACAGCGGTCGAGTGACAGTAGTCTCGATGGCAACCACCATCACCAACAACAGCCATTATCTTCTCTATCTCTCCTTCGCCACATTGCCATTGTCAGTGATAGTAGTCTTGACGAGAACCACCATCATCGACGACAAACATCATCTTCTCTACCTCTCCTTCTCCATCGTCGCACTGCCAACACCGCTCACCGGCCACCACTGCCATCGGTCGAATTCGAATAGAATCGAATATTCGGTTTGATAATCGAAACCGAATTCAAACTCAAAGATTTGATATCCGTCGGATGTCGAATCAAATTCGAATATTAGGGTTCATAATCGGTTTCGAATTCAAATCTAGCCTAATTCGATTTGAATTTGATCTGCTTACAAGCCTATTAATTAGTTCAGTCTTAAGGTAGAAGGCAATGAACAATATCTACTTTTGAATAGTAATTTTAATATTTTTAACAGATAACTAACGATCAATTAACAGCAGAGACCAACTTGACACTTTTTGAAAATTTAAGTAATGGAGTGACACATTTAAAAGTTTAGATAGTAACTTGACACTACCCACGTACTAAAACGGAATTTTCCCCACTATTTGCTACCATTTCCATTTTCCAAGTAACAACTAAGTCGATGATGGTGACACAGAGAGCGGGAGGCAAACAGTTCATCCGCGTTCACTTTTCGCTCTCCTTCCTATGCGGAGATTTTTATGGATTCCAATCTGGTGGTTGTAAAGTGTTCATGTTTCTTTCTTCAAAGACATTCAATGTTTCATGGAGGCAAACAGCATTTTGGTTTCGTGGGCATATTAGCGCCATATATAAGCATGGCTGTTTATTACTTTTGACATTATTGTTTAGTTTCAATACTTATATGTTTGTTTTGTGGGCGTTTATTGAAAATTAAAAATGATGTCACATTAGTGTTAGGTACGCATTATCATTTATTGTGTATGACACCATTGTTTGGTTTCAACATTTATCAAATAAATAGTGAAGTATTTATGTGCATGAGTCATTTGGAAAAAACATCAAATCCTTATTTTCTCCAATGCCTTAGTGTTTCTTGAAATAAAATGCTTATGTGGCATATTTTATGGGGTGCTAATATGAGATGGAAAGTAAGCACCATTTAAAGTTATGCCTAACCAAACAATAAAAACAAAAAATGTTTAAAGTTTTCAAAATAAACGTTTAAAGCAATAAACACCCCATCTATAAATACCCATGGAATCAAATACATATTAAATAAACCCTAAAAATCATAAACACTTGAATTTATGTGCATGATTCATTTGGGGAAACATCAAATTCTTGTTTCCCCTAACTACTTCAAATCACCTGCCAACGAAGCACGTTTCAACCCTTTACAAACATGATCTTACACCACATATCTCATACATGGCGGTAGGGGTGTAAAGTGTAAACGGATCAAATTCGAATTGGATTAGGTAATATCCGAATTTGAATCTGATTAGAAAATTTGATATCCGATTGATATTGAAAATTAATACTCGAATTCGAATCCGATTAAATATTCGAATATTCTRTTCGAATTCGATTAATTAATTATTTTGGATAATTGATAAATATATAAAATAAATATTTTATTGATATAAAGTATATAAATATATAAATTATTTATATAACTTAATTATTATATATATAAATTATATAAAATATTTTATATAACATATAAAAATTAAATAATCGGTCGAATTCATATATTTATCGAATCGAATCAGGTCATATCCGAATTCAAATATGATTAATTATTCGGTATTAATAGGATATCCGAATTTGACCGATTAAATATTTGAATTATCCGAATTATTTCGAATATCAAATTTGAAATCGGATTTTTGA